TTGTAAAAGTGGTCCGAAAGGAATTAGAAATAATATTGATAGAATTATGGATTCTTTAGCTTGGATTACTAGTAGTAATAAAAGAAATTCTAAATTTCAAGATGCTTGTAAAAAATCAAATTTGTCTATTAAAACTTTTGCATTAAACATGCCTGTTAGGTGGAATAGTACTTATTTAATTTTGTATTCATGTTTTACCTTACCCAAATTTAATGAGTTATTTTGTACCAAATAAGAGGGGTCCTTATCATTTGGTAGAGAGTGAGTAACATATAGCTCAAAAATTTCATTCTTTTCTTAAAACCTTTTAACTTGCAACTTTAAAACTTTCTGGTGTGTATTATCCTACTAGTTCATTGGTAATACATACAATTTTCAAAATTTCAAATTTATTTACTTGAAACAAAAACAATGAAATTTTAGCAGAACCAATAGAAGCAATGGAATTTAAATTTAAAAAATATTGGAAACTCATTCCTTTTCTTTATTGTTTAGCTACCATATTTGATCCTAGGATTAAATTAGCGGGTTTAGAAAATGTTTTAGACACATTAAGTGAAAATTTACAAGAAAAAGCGTATGCCAGTCAACCAAGAGAGATAAGAGAGTGTCTTGAAGAGGTATATTTGCAATATGAAAGCAGGTGTGGAAACCAACAAAGAGGTGCAATACCTAAGGAAGTACCAACAAAAGACACAAATGTAGACTTCAACTCCTGGAGTGCAATTAATAGGCGAAAGAAGACCTGAACGCGAAGCACAACCTCCTCTTTAGAAGCATTAACAAGGAATATAATGTTCTCCATGCGGTTGCAGAGTAATGAGCTTTACCAATATTTAGGAACCCTTGACTTGCTACTAGCGGATCCACAACAAGAGTCAACTTTGATGTCTTAGAATATTAGAAAACCAGAAAATGTATTTTTCCACTACTATCAAGACTTGCCTTTGATGTTTTCTCTGTTCCTGTCTCAATCGTCTCATCCGAACAAACATTTAGTGCAAGTGGAAGAATTTTAAATGAAAGGAGGACTAAACTTTCACAAAAAATGATTGAAGTCCTCACATGTCTTTGAGATTGGGAACGGTCACGCCATCAAGATTAATACGAAATTGTCGATGATACTTTAATATAATTATTTTAATTTTATAATTTAGATGATACAGATGAGGGAGGTCCTAGTCAACCCTCAAATTAGTTGTTTTGTAAATTGTAACTTTGTAATTNCCCCCCCCCCCCCCCCCCCCCCCCCCCCCCCCCCCAAATGCTGCTACAACTCCTAGTGGTTCTAGAGGTCATTCTCATAATCGTCGTCATCGTCCAACTCCATTTGAAGTAGAAATGGGTTCATCAACTGTAGCCACCGGAACCGACGACAAGCACACATCAAATGTTTGGATGCATTTCGAAAAGTTTTACGAGACAGAAAATGGAGTTCAACTGAAGAAAGCAAGATGCAAATATTGTGGAAATATTTATAAAGCTGATGCTGGTGATGGTACCAGTACTTTAAAAAGGCTTGCTGGTAAACATATAAATCATCATGGAAATAGAGAAACCAATCAAATTCAAATAACTAGTATGGGTAATACTTGACGTTATAATTCTAATGTATATAAGGAACAATTAACTTTATATATTGCTACAACTGATCAACCTATTAATATGACTGAAGATAAATATTTTGAAAGATTTTTTTAAAAATTCATTTTTTCCATAATTTAAAACTTATTCTAAAACTTCAACAAGAAATGATTTAATAAATTTGTTTAAGAAAATGAAATTAGAGTTAACAAATAAAATACATAGTTGTTATGTTAGTTTGGCTCTAACCGCGGATATTTGGAGTGGTAGAGCTAAACAAGATTATATTTGTGTGACTAGTCATTATTTTGATAATGAATGTAAATTAAATAAATCTTTATTGGGATTTAAATTAATGGATGTGGATCATAGTGGTCTACAAATTTATTGTAAAATTGTTGAAGTTTTAGAAGAATATGATATTGTCCACAAAGTAATAAGTTTAACTTTAGATAATACAAGTGCTAACAGCAGAGCTATAGATTTTATTAAAAGAAATTATGAATTTCAAGATACTTGTAAAAAATCAAATTTGTCTCCTAAAACTTTTGCATTAGATATGCCCCTTAAGTAGAATAGTACTTATTTAATGTTTCATTCATGTTTTTACCTTATACAAATTTAATGAGTTATTTTGTACCAAATAAGAGGGGTCATTATCATTTGGTAGAGAGTGATTGACATATAGCTCAAAAATTTCATTCTTTTCTTAAAACCTTTTAACTTGCCACTTTAAAACTTTCTGGTGTGTATTATCCTACTAGTTCATTGGTAATACATACAATTTTAAAAATTTCAAATTTATTTGCTTGAAACAAAAACAATGAAATTTTAGCAGAACCAATAGAAGCAATGGAATTTAAATTTAAAAAATATTGGAAACTCATTCCTTTTCTTTATTGTTTAGCTACCATATTTGATCCTAGGATTAAATTAGCGAGTTTAGAAAATGTTTTAGACACGTTAAGTGAAAATTTATAAGAAAAAACATATGCCAGTCAACCAAGAGAGATAAGAAAGTGTCTTAAAGAGGTATATTTGCAATATGAAAGCAGGTGTGGAAACCAGCAAAGAGGCACAATACCTGAGGAAGTACCAACAGAAGACACAAATGAAGACTTCAACTCCTGGAGTGCAATTAATAGGCAGAAGAAGACCCGAACGCGAAGCACAACCTCCTCTTCAGAAGCATCAACAACGAATATAATGTTCTCCATGCAGTTACATAGTAATGAGCTTTACCAATATTTAGGAACCCCTAACTTGCTACCAGCGGATCCACAACAAGAGTCAACTTTGATGTCTTAGAATATTAGAAAACCAGAAAATGTATTTTTCCACTAGTATCAAGACTTGCCTTTGATGTTTTCTCTATTCCTGTCTCAATCTTCTCATCCGAACAAACATTTAGTGCAAGTGGAAGAATTTTAAATGAAAGGAGGACTAAACTTTTACAAAAAATGATTGAAGTCCTCACATGTCTTTGAGATCGGGAACGGTCACGCTATCAAGATCAATACGAGATTGTCGATGATACTTTAATATAATTATTTTAATTTTATAATTTAGATGATACAGATGAGGGAGGTCCTAGTCAACCCTCAAATTAGTTGTTTTGTAAATTGTAACTTTGTAATTTATAAATTAACTATCAATTATTACACTTTTTTTTTTTCCTTGCCAAGTTTTTGTCCTAATTGAGTTTTTCTTGATAAGGTTTTTAACGAGACAATAATTGTTGTAATTTCTTACTTTATTTTTTGATAAATAAATAAATCTAATTTTTCTTATATTACAATTTAATTGTATTAAAATTGAAATAATATTTGAAATGTTAGCTAAAAAAAATTAATTTAACTGAAATGATATTTGAAAAGTTAACTAAAAAAATTACACAAAAGAAAAAAATAAAAAATAAAAAATAATTTTTTGCTGGGCCGTCCCACACAAAAACCTATTGGGTTAGGGTTGACGGGTCGGGCTGGGTTGACCCTTTTGGACAAAGAGGCGGGCCAGGTTAGGCCTGGCCTGCCATTTGCACCAACCTGCCACGAGTTGGGCCCTCTTTCCACCTTTATCCATCACACTTTACTCTCTAGGCTTTTATATTTTAAAAAGTTTTATCCATTAATTTTACACTCAAATATGTCAAGATAAAAGACATTGTTTATTGATAAAAAGGAAAAATTTGATCTCTTCAAAGTTAGGCCTTATAATACCATTGTGTTACAGATAAAAAAAAAAAGGGTAATATTATACTGACAAATGAATCTTATAAATTTTCTCTCATAAACTCGACATGGCACTGAGTTGGCGTGGTAAACTTTGACTAAACATGAACAGTTGTTCCTTAGGGAGGAACGATTGTTCATTCATAAGGAACGACTGTTCCATTCATAAAGAACAGACGTTCCTATAAGGAATGATTGTTTCTTATTAATAGAACAATCATTCCTTATGGAACAACCATCTATTCCTTATGAAGGAACGGTTGTTTGTCTCTAAGAACAATCATTCCTTCATAAGGAATGACCGTTCCTTATGAAGGAACAACCATTTGTCCTTAGGAACAGCCGTTTCTTTATACCTTCATACATGTTCCATAAGAGAGGAACGATCATTCCTTCCGTAAGAAACGACCACTCCTTTTATGAACGGTTATTTATTGGGTCTAGTCAAAATCATTTGCCATTAGGTGATGGTAAGAGCTGCCAACTCAACTGTCACATTAGATTTGTAAGATTCGTTTGTCAATCTATCTTTATTCATTAAAAAAAAAAAATTATCTAGCTTATTCATAACATGGCATGTTTCATCATTTGAAAGGCACGAGTTATTTACAATTTTATATTTTAAAGTTTGAAATACATTGTACTTATCTCTAAAATTGAAATACGAACAGTTTAGTCTAATCAGGTAAGACTTTCCAATAAAGAGTCCATATTAGCCCCAGTTTTTTTATTTATATGTAATTAGAAATAAAGAAAATATAAGAAATAAGAAAACAACCCAAAACACTAATTTCCTCTTGTTCAGCGTGCTAAATGCTCATATAACCATTTGCTTATTTTTATTTGATTTTTTTCATTTTGAACTACGAATCACAGGGATCTCAGTATCAATGAATTATCCAGAATTATTTTACGCATCATACGGCATAATCACACAGATATTTGTCGCTAAAATCATGAGCGAGGCAGGAATGAATAAGTTTCAGAAAGAGGAGTAAACATAACCAACCGGTGCTTAAATCAAACCACTGAAAACCACTTCTATGGATCATATCAATCAAGAGAATTCGAAGAGAAATAAGTTTGGAGTCGTTGCACAAAAGTTTGAGAAAGTGAGGGTGGGGAAAGTAGCAATCGAGGAAAACCTTACTAGTACTGCAACTGAATATTTCCCCCCCCAAAAAAAAAAAAGAGTAAATTAATTAAAAGCAGCAGCCATCAAAAATTCGCCCTCGCACACCACTTCACCTCCCACATAAGCTTTGCCTTCCATCTTTGCGATGCCGAAGCGTTTCTGTAGCTTCACAAGATTCATTCTCATAACCAAAGTGTCACCTGCAATTACTGGTTTCCGGAATCTTACTTTATCAACTCCAGCAAAGACAAAATTGTCACGAGAGCCTCCCACATCTGGTTGCAGCATAACCAAACCACCAACCTGAGCCATTGCCTGTATCCAAAACAGTGGCAAACATCTTTACTGACCCAGAATACATATACAGCGTATAAAACTGGGAACAGCTTTGGAAATTTTGAACTACAACGATTTAAAGTCCTTGTCGTGAGGCAAATGCCTAATTTTATATGAAATTCTAACAGGTTGGCCTTCATATTGATAGACTTCATTTTTGTGTGTGGGTATGTGTGCACAAGCTTGCGTGGTAATTTTGTCAATGATATTTTGCCTTCCTAAAACAAAGGAACCCTTTAATCATGACACATGAAAGTAAAGCCTTTTAATTAAAAGACCTTCAATCCCACAAACACTTCCACCAGGTCCTTTTTTGACCTTCACCACTCCAAACCACAAATATTATTTCTCATGCACAAGGCAGATCCCAGATGACAGAAGAGGTTTGAGTACTCACGCATGCCAATTGCCTAATTGCATCTCAATGTGTCTGTCTTCTATGCATATAATAGTTTCATTATTCTTGATTTCCACTGTAATTTCATTCTGTATAGTACTAGAAAAGGTGATTAAAACTAGAGAAAATAGAGGTTAAAAGAGTGAACCAGTGTCCTCTCATATTACAGCCACCTCCCTAAAAGCAGGGACAGAAAATCTGATCCTCTTGAGAACTAGTTGGGTGCACTGTTCCATGCCTACTACTTCTCGGGGATAGTTAGCAACATATAAAGAAGTCCTAATCAGTCCTAATCAAGTTACAGGATGTGAAGAAGATTAAAAACATCATTATCTGAAGCATTCTGCTTAACTAGGTGTTCACAGTGAATAGAACTTAAGAACTCAAATATCTATCAGATATGTTTGAAATGATACAAGAAGCATAAGTACAACTGAAGAATGGATAAAGTAACAGGAAGATCACAAATAACTGCAAAAAGGTCTCCCTTCACCCAGCAAAAGTGAGAGAGGAAACTAAAACAGAAGTTGCAAGCAACACTGCCTCAGAACAGAGTACTACAGTGAGCAATTCCCAGTTTGACAATTATCATTGATTAAGGTCTATGGAACCTGACTTAGATGGCTGATGTGGCAGAATAGAGTTAAAAATTAAGTTGGGGTTTAAAGGCCTGGGTATTACGGAGTAGGGTTTTGACATTATTGGGGAAAAGAAGTTATGTATAGGATTTTACTGATACAAAACAAAAATCAAAGCTCATTGTGAATGAATTGAGAAGGAGCAAAAGGAAAAGTTACATAAAATTTGAAATAAGGACGAAAAAAAAGTAAGAATTAGTGAGTGGGAGAAAATGTGCCACACACTAATGCATTCATTAAGCCAAACAACTCAGATCTTCCATGAAGCAAATGTATAGCACGATGAAGAGTTGAAATAATAAATAGATACATAGATCACTAACACTTGTCGTACTGTAGCAGTACTGCTCAAAGTAACAATAACAGATTATTTTGCTTTGGTTACGAGGGGCTAATTTTATTATGTTATTTAAACTGCTAAGATTTAATTTTTATAAATTTAATAATATATTAACATATAAAGGTTACCAAAATTGTAATCACTCTAGGTTCTGCAGACCTTAAAAAGTTTATAAACGGAATACATTTTATTTCTTTTTTGTTGCTGCATATACTAAAAGATGAGCATTTGATTATAGGTTTTGATCTCTTTTCCTCTCTCTTTAATTTACCAATCTCTAAAATCTGAGTTTTAGGTAGTGTCAATTCCATTATTATGGCATCATAAGCCAAATATAGATCTAGCTCCATAGCAAGTAGAACACAAATTGCCCATCAGACATGAATGTTTGAGCCCTGCAACAGATTAAGGATATATGACTGGAGATACTTGAAAACAACAGGTGGTGCTGAAGATGAACACTTAATAGGGATAATTCTGTTGATTGGATTCTCAATCAATCTATGATGTATACATTGACCTTATGATATGCTTGCGGTGAAGGTAAAACTTTTGCTGCCTATTAAAAAAACTAGAGACATATGTGACTTACCAAGTGTTTCATTAGTATGTAGTCTGCAATTGCTTCAGACATTATAATACTTTTTATATGTACCTTAGGATTTTCAAGAGCTTTTATGTCTTCCAAATTCTATTTTAGAGTTTAATTATTTACTAATTTATAAATTTTATTCATTCTTTTTTCTTTCCCTCTGTACTAGAAATCAGCCTTTGGTTGTGTTTTCTGGTATCTTTTGCTCTCTCTTTTCTAATATCAGATATGCATTCAGTAAGAATGATGTCATTAAAAACCTTAAAATTATTTAGAGAGCATAGATGTTAACCAGAACCCTCGGAATACAGCCTAAAAGCATGATGACATTCATGGTCGGCCAGATCTTTGTTCATCCAGTAACAAGCAGATATTAGCAGATTATAAAAATCATAAGAATACAAGGATTTTACACTGACAAAACCTACACAATTAACTTCCTCTATTGCCTTCTGTCCTCAATCCAACATTCCTCATACTTTGCTAAGGAAGGCCGTTCTCATACCTTTTTCCTCCTCTCTTACTTTCCATCGAAGAAAATTATTGGTAATTGTCACATTTCCTTAGGCTCCATAGTACTATACAATTATCCTCTATAACTACTCTGATTCATCTATAATCTAAGCAATGCAATCTCCCATATTAACCAAGGAACCCTTTAAAATACTTCAAAATGTCAATGCAGTAACATAGAACGACCACAAGAACTCCTATAATACCTAGTTGTGCATCTCATTCAGCCATAACATACTTATCTGCCAATACAATGAGAATAATTATCAGCTTCATTAATAAATTCGATTCAATCAAACATTCATCAAAATGTATGCGAGGAACTAATAAAACCAGTTTGGGCAGTTGGCCGTCCTTTCATATAAATGCTCAACCAGTCCCCAGAACCCCAAAACTTGTATGCTATGATTTATAGGGCACTTATGCTATTGAAAGTATAGTGAGTCATATAATTGAGGCCACCGCTCACTTCTCATGTTAGACCCTCATATTCACCATCATAAGATTATGAACCTTCATTTGCTTAAAAGAAATGTAACAATTTTGGCAGCATAAAAAATTTTACCATATAACTTTCACTTGCTGATAATTGTTTCACTTTCTATAATTGTTCTACAAGCAAACAAACACACAATCATACTTCCATACATATTTTTTTGCACAACTATGGTCCGCCTTGTCATGCCTAGACTATTTAGAACCACGTCCAACACCATATGTCTACGTCAAAGGTGAACAGATGCGTCCATGCACTGGATCATAGCTCAATTGTTTTGCATCTGAGACAGCATGCGTAGGATGATAAAGTAATCATCATATCTATAAAGTTGCAGCCTTTAGATTTTAAAGCAGCTAGGCAAACATGTAGTTCAATAAGTATGATTACGACAAAAGCAGTAAAGCACCAATGGAGTTAAACAGAGTATGGATTCATGTTAAAGAATAAATGGGATTACAATGTTAGAGAAAGAATTAATCATTGAATTCAATAAATACATATAATAATTATAATAATTAGGGCAAAAAAAAAAAAAATAGAATTACCTCAATCATGAGAACACCAGGCATAATAGGCCTTTCAGGAAAATGTCCAGGAAAAAAGTTATCATTGATGGTAACATTCTTGATACCCACAGCTGAAACTCCAGGATTGTATTCAATAACTCTATCCACTAAAAGAAATGGAAACCTAAAACAATAACCTAAATTACATTACAATCCAATCCAATTCATTCAGTCAAACAAAGTCAACATCAATACCACTCACTGACCTGTGAGGCAAAATCTCACGAATCTGGTTAATGTCCATAACTGTGGGAAACGCCTCGTATCCTGCAGAAAAACAAATAATAATAAACAAAAATAAATAAATAAGAGAAAATGAAAGTAAAACAAAATTCATACTTAGTTCAATAGGAGTATCTTGTTTAGGATCTTTAGCCTCCAGAGAACAAAATGTGGTGAAACGAGCGGTGTTATTGTTGTTCTTCTTGAATTGGAAAAATTGAAGATTGGATTTTGGAAGAGACAAAGCGTTTGGTCGTTGAGATTTCAAAGATAAAACTGAATTGGCCAAACAAGTAGTGGTAGTAGAAGCCATTGTCGAAAGTTTGAATTGAATGGAAAGAAAGAATGAATGAGAATGAGAGAGAATTAGGGGTTGAAGAAGAGAGAAATTGAAATGAATTTTATGTTAAATTAAATAATAAAAGAGTGAGGCAGGTGGGAGGTGGCGACATTAACGAGGTAGCTGTAGGGGAACTCTTTGTTTCAACCAGGAACTAACCAGCCAGGCTAACGGAGATCCCCATGGGAGGTTTTTCTCATTTTTTTTTTTTTTTTTTTCTTTTTTTAACTTTTTAAGAAAAAAATTATTATTAATCTTTCCGAGTATTTTAAAATATAATTTAAAGAGTAAACGACATGTTTCCACCCAAGGTTTAGTGAAATACCAAGTTTTTACCCCTAGTTTCATAAAATTCATATTCCCACCCTTAACTTAACAAAAAATATATTTAATATAACGATAAAGACTAAAATGGTCATTTAACTATGTATGAAAATAAAAATTTTAAAATAACTCCCAAAGTCTCAAAAATAGTTAAATAACCCTCCACAGAATGGAAGGGATGGTGAGTCGCTAGTGAGAGGAAACCGGTTAGAAAAAAAGCACCCAAACAGCACAAGCTAACGTGCGCCACCTCATGCTAAAATGGGTGGCTATTTTGGTGAAAAGAAGGTTGGAAAGGATGGTGGGGATGCTACTGGTGGTGAGGTGGTTGTGGTTGTGGAAGCTGGTTAGGTGGTTATGGTCGTGGAAGGTGTTGTGGTGGTGGTGGCCGTAAAAGGTGGTGGTGGCTACTGGGAAAATGTTTACAAGAGCGCAAGCTAGAGGGCAGGTCGTTGATTGTGACCTTTTATCAAACAGGTTGTGTTTGATCAGAAAAGGTCAAAGGAGAGAGCTTTCGGAGGTGCCGACGACTAGAAAAATCCAATAAGTCACAAACACTTCTAAGGAATCTCAATTTGCGTCCAAACATCCAACAAAATCAACTTAAAACAATCCTTCAAACTCAAACAAAACCCAAGGAAAATGGCCTTCAAGATGGTGAAAAAGGAGCAAAGAGGGTTGCAGGATAACGCGTTTTTGGAGAGGGTACATCGGGGAGTGGAATGGCTAGGTAGAGGGCTATTTCCGATGGGAAGGGCTGCCAGAAAAAGGCTCGGAAGTGGCGGCTGAAAAAAAGCTTGGAAGTGGGGGCAACCCAAAACAATCCTTTAAACTCAAACAAAACCCAAGGAAAATGGCCTTCAAGATGGTGAAAAAGGAGCAAAGAGGGTTGGGGGATAAGGAGGTTTTGGAGAGGGTACACCGGGGAGTGGAATGATTGGGTAAAGGGCTATTTTCAGTGGGAAGGGCAGCCCAAAAAAGGCTCAGAAGTGGCAGCTGAAAAAAGGCTTAGAAGTGGGGGTTATTTTTTAATTCTATTAATTTGGGGGTTAAAAGAATTTAAAAATGTTTTGTCAAGGGCAATATGGTAATATCACTTTCTGTACCTATGTCAGAGCCTAAAAGCTATTAACAGTGTTGGTTTAATGGTGGGAATATAGAATTTATGAAACCAGGAGTAGAAACTTGACATTTTGCCAAACATTGGGTAGGAACATGTCGTTTACTCTAATTGAAAATAAACCCTTTTGATCGTTTTTATCAAAAAAAATTCAGAAATTATATGAATTACCCATTTTTTAAGTGTTAGTTTGAGATTCTTGTAATTTTAAGTTTAATCAGTTTTCCTCCAACTTTAAAAATAATCTATAATGTGTTTGATAATAATATATGATTGTGTGTTTAATAAAATAGATTTTGAAATTATTGTTGTATGTATAATGATAAAAATAGACATTTTATTTCTTGAAACATTTTTATAATTCAAAATTTGTATTTTGAAAAGTATTTTAAAATGTGATTAAATAATTTACATCAGATAAATTATTAATTAATTAATAACTCATAAAAAACCAAAATATTGGATTTGGCTCGCAGTAGTCAACCGTTGGTTAACACTAGTCAAACCATCATTGACCAATGGTTAACGTTGATCAACGGTGGCACGTTCTAGCATAGCGAATTCCCATTGGGACTAGCAATTCTCGATGTACAGGAATCCAGTGAAACCATCGGACTCTGATACTTATTTAGGTCGCAATAGGTGGACAAATCATTTGCCACCTTTTACAACCAAAATAAGTTTCGAAAGCTGGTTTAATCTCTGGAAACCTGAAGATTAGAAATTTTTGGTACTGATGGGACCAATTGGGCTTCAAATAACAAGCACTGACCACCAATCAATGGTGGTTTGATTGGCATTGACTGTCAACAATAGTTAACCAACGGTTTGCCACCACCAATGTTGCAAGTAACCAATACTATTTCTATATTTTTTAATTTATAAATAAATTATAAAATTATTTATTAATGAATTAAGTGTTCATTAATGTTTATTTTGTAATTTGAAAATTATGCATGGGTATATTTGTTAATTTATAATGTAAAATCAGCTTTAGAAATAATTTGATTTTTAAAAGCTACTCATCCTAGCTTTTAGAATCATTTTATAACTAATTATTTTATAATCAGTGTTGAGTGTGAGTTTGCCAAAAAGCTCAGAGATCTCAGAAGCTCACAGAGTTGTAGTCTAACCCAGAATCAGTGCGACCCAGAATAGGCTCAACCCAGAATCAGAGCGATCCAAGTGAGCTCGACCCAGTTAAAGCTCATCAAGGTGACCAACCTTGATAGCTATTCGACAGATCAGAGGATATGCTTCAATCTTTGATACTTCAAAAAAGATAGGATTAGCATCATTGACAGCGCGATCTTAACGCTTAATCACTGAAATCACGGGATTGCATACCAAGTCTAATCGCAATCCCTGATTTGTCTCTCTTTCCTTAACTAAAAACTTGTATAAATACCCACTCAAACTATGATAGAAGGGTTAGCAAATTAGTATAGGCAATTACATATTTTCTTGTAAGCTCTCAAAGTAATAAGAGAACAATAGAAGTAGGTTTAAGTTCTAACTTACTGAACCACTTTAAAATTGCTCTTGTGTTCTTTAGTTTATGACATTTTTACCATTCATAGCTGATTTTTTGCTCTTGTGTTCTTTACATTACGACATTTTAATCACACACACATCTGTTCCAATTCCACCAAGGTCAATCAGACCTCCCTAGTTGGTACGAATTTTTGTATCAACATTTTGACGCTAGAAGGAGGGCCCCCGACTAGCTCTCCTATTCCCAACAAGGATAGACGATTTCAATGAACAATTACTCACCTAAAATCCTCCATGGCTCGTACGAGATCCAAGGCAACCTCCAGAAACCACGATAACGTGGACACCACCCACTAGGAAGTGAGTCAGATCGCCGCTCATGGCTATCCGCCACCAGTACCACCAGCACAGCAGGTCGCTAATCAATTGGGGGCAAGGACCTCTAACCCAGAAAATGGCCAGTTGATGGACATGATAAGGTCACTGGTTGTGCAAGTTGTGCAACAGAATGGGGCAAAGTTGAGGAAAGAGTAGCAGGCCAACCAGAACCTCGACTAGCCACACTTCACTAAGCCTACTCCCAACAAGCAGAATATGTCAGCTGGTGACCAATCTGGTTTGTCAGAGGCAAGGAGTGACTGTCATCCTCAATGAAAAAGGGCACATTCCGCTCATGAGCGTGAAGCCCAAAACAAGCTAATCTTGGGAGGCGATCAGGCAAGTAGCCCATATAGGAGAATGAGAATGGTCACCAGAGAAAGGCAAGAATTGAATACTAACATTTACACTTGGTTAAGCCCAACACAATTTTTCTACTTCAATTTTTGCTTTTCTCTAACCCTTTCTTCAATAGGGTTTAGCCAACTCATGCATGCATTTTCTCTTTGGATTTGCATCAAACACTTCATATGCACATGCAACTACCATGTTGTCTACACTTCCACATCTCTCTAAATCTACCAAAATTTGAGCTAAAAACTCACTAACTGTAGCATCAAACCTGGCCGTTTTCAACAATTCTCAACACTCCAAAATTTCATCACTAATTCTTCCATAAGTCCACCAATTCATCACATACTCATACACTACTTCTCATAGTTGGAAATTATGCATCATTAAACATAAAAAACAGCCAACAATTCTCACATACAATCACGTAAAAACATGCAAGAATCATTCTATATAAGTCTTGCTCAAATCAAGGCTAAAATTGGGTTTACTTACCTTGAATGTGTGATATCACCTCCTTTTGCTAAAAGGCTCTTCCTCATGGACCTAGATCATATAAAAACCATAAGAATTTAAAACTTTAAAGTTTAATCATACTCGTTGTGCTAGAATCTTACCTTTGGATGCTTTAGGATTGAAAATCTATAAAAATCCAAGCCAAATCCTATGAGTTCCTTTGGAAATTTGGTGAAGAAAATTAAGAGAAAAAGGGGTGAGGGTGGCGTGTACAAGGGCTAAAATATGTTAGGAAACGATCATCTATGGTAGCAGAAAACAAAACTAATTTACATGATAGATAGTTCCTTAGAACCAAGATCAGGGTACAAAAATTACAGTTTATATGTTACTATAGAATCTGCAGAAAAATCAGTTTAAAGTTTAGAAATCATACGCACGTTTGGAGGCTCCTCCAAGTTTGTCTCTGAACGGATTTCGCTACCGACCCAAGTGTAGGATCGAACCAATGTAGTCCACACAAAGACAACCCCAAGGAACTAGAGAGGGATTTGCTAGATCCTCTTTAGCCTTTAAGAACCAAGAAGCAATCAAATAAAATTTGATTTCAAGCAAAAATAAATCTGGCGTGGGAAGAGGAGAAAAGGGGCTGGAGTTTTTCTTTTGAATGAAAAATGAATTCTCTCTTTTATTTCACAAAGTGTTGCACTTATTGCACGTATATAGTGCAACACTATACCCTATTCCATCATGGAATGAGCTTGGACATCAACCCAAACAACTCCTTGTATCCAAACAGTCCCTTAAAGATATTTTATTTTAATTATTATTATTTCAATTCAATTAAATTAATATATATAATATATTAGCATTTAACAATAATGATAATTTGTTTAAATATATGCGAACACATATTTAAACGTAATCTCACTTATTTAATTTTAATATCAAATTAAATAAAGGCTACGACCTCAGCAAATTTAATTGCACTGTGAAATTACCAAAATACCCTTTTGCCTAAAAAGACGAAAACGCCCTTCTTGTAAACTGGTTCTTAAATTATCTTCTATGTGTGTGACCCGTAGGCTC